TCTAGAGAGCACACCTTTGTCTGAGTACTTATTTGTCATGATTTTTTCCAAATTTGTGGGTTGCCTTTTCACTTTGTTGGTAATTTCTTTTGATGTGAAAAAACTTCTCAGTATAACAGGTCCCAGTTGTTAATTCTTTCAACTGTTTCCCGTGCAATTTGATTTCTGTTCATGAACTCTTTGCCTACCCTTATGTCTTCAAGAGTTCCTCCTACTTTCTCTTCTAGGAGATTTAGTATCTCTGCTTTAATGTTTAGATCTTTAATCCATTTTGACTTTAGTTTAGTGTATGGTGATAGACCTGGGTCAAGATTTAGTTTTCGGCATGTAGAGAGCCGGTTTTTTCAGCACCATTTGTTAAAGAGGCTATCTTTCTTCCAGTAAGTATGTTTGTCCATGGTTTTTATCTGCAGGAATTTTTTTTTTTTTGCGGAACTGGGGATTGAACTCAGGATCTTGAACTTGCCAGGTAAGCGCTTATACTACAGAGCAATCTCCCTGGCCCCTCCATGTTTCTTATTTGGAACACTCTGAATTACAGTAGAGCAAATACTTAAAAATAAATTTTTAGAAGGGTGATTTTTCATTATAGCTTATGCTGAGTTTGCAGTACCTATATACTAAAACACACGTATATAAGATAAATTCAGTACTTGTGAAAAAGATCTGTGCTTGATAAAAAATTAAGAACACTAAAATTCTCATAATGGCCAAAACCATAAAACGTATAAAGGAAAAAGCTTTAAGAGCACAGTCCTAGTGACCTCCAACACTGAAGCATAGACCATTAGTGATATAGAAAAGAATACTAATTGGAAAAAAATCAGAAGAGAATGAATGATGTATCAAATTCCATTAACGGAGAAGGAATTTCAAAATGGATAGTCAATGTGTCAAATGTTCAGGACAATACAGTTCTATTAGAATAAACATAACTAATAATTTCTTTATATTTTATTCCATCTATTAGATTTTCTATTCATTAGATACCTATTGTACACACCTCTGTCTCAGCTTGAGTTCTTTGACAGCGATACTGCGCAATCAGTCTATCAGCCTGGGCAAGAGCTAGAGCCTTTGCTTCCAAGAGATCCTGTAACCTGCTTTCTTTGGACTATAAGAAAACATACAATTAATCTTCAGTTTTAGGAAAACATTTGAGAACTTAATACATGTATTTAAACATGTACTCACAGCTAATGTGGATAGTTTCATCTCATATACATCCATTATGTCAGATATTCTTCCATCATTAATCTGATCCTTTACCTAGGTTTTAATGGAGCAAAAATCAGTACACTGTAGCACTTGAGAAAAAGGACAAAGCGTGCAAACTTAATTATTAAAACGGAATGATGAAGAACAAAGGAAAAAATTCCTGCTACACCAAGTAATTATAAAGAGTATTGCAGGAAAGAGGGTTACTGAGTTACAGTAATTCTATAAAATAGCCAATGCGAAAACACCTGAGTAAGATTTTGTATACTGAGGATGCAACTTACAAATGTACTTCTTAAAATTAGTGGCTGGGAAGGGGATTAGTAAAAGAATGACAGCTATATTAAAAATGTTTGAATCTTATGACTATATTTTCTTCCTTTCCAAATTTCCCAGAATACATTATCTGCTAAAAGATATAATCTCAGTGATGACATCTACATTTAAGTTGTTTAAATAAATCTTATAATCAGATCCAGTATCTGTTGGTAGATACCAGCACAGTTCTATTTTTAATTGCTATTTATCACTTACCGTCACCCCAGACTGAAGTTTTTCTATTAATTCCTCAATGTTCAATCCAGGAACATTATCTTTCAACAGGGGAGGAGTTAAACACTTTACTGCTGTTGGGAAACTGTGATTTAATGACTGAAAAGACAGTCTCCTGGGCATATGTTCTGTTTCTTGTTGTCTATATGCATTGTTTGCTGCTATACTTTCTCCAAGTCTGAATGAAAATCAAAAACAAAAATAAAAAATAATATAAAAGTAGAGCAAAAGGCAGTTAGGAATTCTTACAATGTGTCTGTTTTTTTGTAATAGAAAACTTCAAAAATAGTTTTGAAATAATCTTGGAGATCATGATGAAACAGATTTTTAGGAAATATCCTGAACTTCCCAGAGGATCCTGTTTTACTTACAAGTCTTTGTAATGGCAATTCTGCTTTTGGTTTGGAGGCACCATAAAACTAGTTCATGAAAGTGGCTTATGTACCTAAGTACAAAGTTCCTGGAACTGCTCAGAGCAACCTTCCTACCACACCTGAAATCATCTGGTCTTTACGTTCTTTCTCAAACTCATCTTTTCACCTGTGTTCTCACCTCTCTCACTTCCATTCTGCCCATTCACAAGCTCGGAATATTCTTGGTGTGGAACCTTTGAGCTGTTTCTTCACCTGGAATCACGTGAACCTATGGAGAACTAGTGTCTTCTTATTGGTTCTTATTAATATTCACCTCTTTAGAGAGGACTTCACTAATGTCATACGTGATAGTAATTAATATTAATCCCTTCTCCTCTTCACAGCAATGAGCAGAATATGAGTCTTCTTTTAACTTATCTCCTGACAACAGTATACATCCTATTACAGCATACACTCAGTCTGATTTTCTGCTGTAGACAAAATGCCTACATGTAGGCATAACTGGTTCTTAGTAAATGTTTGTTAAATACATTAAAAAAAAAAACCTAGCAAAAAATGTACCTATCCATTCATCCAATAAATTCACCTTATTAAACTGCCTAAGAGAATGTCAAATAAGGATAATAAGCAAAAATAGACCCTTGTGAAAATTATCTATAACACAAGACACAGAAAGCCAAGTCACTGAAAATGGTGGGATTGCAGAGGATAAAATGCTCAAGGGTAGTATAGTTGAAGCTTTCCTGATGAATCTCCCGAGTTCAGATGAATAAACTGAGAGGAACAAGCTACCAAAATATGAATGGCTTTATTCATACACCATTTCTAACTTGCAATATAAAATGCTTCTGTTTGTCTAATTTTTGTTGTTGCTGAAAAATATTTCTTATAAAATGAGCATTTGTCTACTTCCTCCTTTTGGAATCCTGGCATCTAGGGAATGTTTTATGTATTTTACTGATTGTTTTAAATTATCCAAACCATTTTTAGCAATCGATATAATAAGCCTTTTAAAGTTTTTAAAACGTGCTAAAGTAGAACTGTAGTAGATATTCTGGTAACCATTTATCGAGGGCTTTTTCCCCTCAAATCTAAACATTTTTTAAAACTTTTTCAAATATTATTGTATTTACCTGGTCACCATCTACTGTATTCCATTTTCTGAGGTAAAGTACAGATGTTTAAGAACTATAGTGTCTTACATTTTTGTCAAAGGTACAAAATACTCAACACTAACAACATAAAGGAGAGGTTTATTTTTGGGTCAGGACTTAGAAGAGTCAGGCTATCTACAGCTGGGTCTAAGGCAGAAAGGGCATGGTGGAAGGACCTGGGCAGAGGATAGGTGCTCATCCTATGACAGCCAGGAAACAGAAGGGAGGAGCTGAGGAGGAAGCTGAACCTGTCAAGTTACATCCCCAGTGAGCCACCGCTTCTGAACAAGACTACTTTCTAACATCACATTCAGCTATGGATTCATCAGTGAATAACCCACTGATGAGAATACTACCCTCATGATCCTTCCACACAAATGACAATTAGGAAGGACATTTTAGATCTAAGCCATTACAGAAGACTTCCACTCCCCTACGCTTCTTCAGTCATGCAGTCTTCATAGCTCTTTGGCAAATCATTGAGGCAACAGAAAGATGCTTAGGCTTTTCACTTAAAACAATCAAGAAAGAAAAGCTCTTCTTATGAAAGAAATAAACTGGTAGGAAATAAATTTAAGAGTATCTAGAACCTACTACAACAGAAGAAATGGTTTGAAACAATGATAGTGACTAAATAACACACTGTATCATCAGGACCTAACTTTTCCCGAGTAAACATCTACCTTTTTCACCTGTAGCAATAAAATTTTAATCACTGAAAGATCACTACTACAATGAAAACTCCAACTGGCTAACTTATGTATCTGTCTATATTGAGGATTATTGAGGAAATATAACAGAATAGTGAAACACAGATACATTATAACTGAGTACTACTTACACTAAAGCAGGAAAATCTGGCAGTGGAGCTGCTTCCAGTAATATTCCCAATCCAGACTGGACTTGTTCTCTGTTATCTGATGTTAAAGCAAAAGCCAAAGGAGTAATTAAACGTGGATCCTAAACAAATCAGAAACCAGAAAATAAGAGAATAAACAATGTCAGATCTTTAGAATAGGGTAATAATTCTAAAATGTTTTTGTCATCTAATGCATCTGACTATATTTTAGACTTTCCCTTGTTAGAGCTACTAATACTGTCATACAACTAATATGAACAATAGTTTAAAAATTTGTCTAAGGTTTTCAATGCTTAATTTTGCCTAGGAAAACTATGCCTTAAATATTATGATGAAATGAAAATATTCAAAATTGACTGATGCTTAGAGTGGCTTTATTTTTGTAATTACCATTAAGAAATAAAAATGGCTAAAAAATTTAAAACTAAAGTCACAAATACAGAGTAAAAATACACACTACCTCAGAAAACTTAATGATTAAAAATATACACTTAAAACACTTTTATGTCAGTAAATATTTTACATTAGTACAAGCCTCAAATCATCCATTATGAAGTCTAAAAATTGACAAAATATTTTGATTCAAGTCTTTAAAAATATTAATCATAGTTTATCATTTAAAATAAAATGCTAAGTGCCTTCTATGTACTCAAGAATAATTCAATGCCATAGAATTATAAGACCAGGTCTTTATGTCTAAACTCTCTATGAAACCCTTCCTAATTCCTAGTATCATTATATCTAGCTTTCCATGAAGTAAATTGAAGAACAGACAGATGTAATAATTGCTCAAGCCTACACTAACAATTGATAAAAACATTAAACTATGTTTCTTTTGCTACAGATAGAAAAACAGACTTTATTAAATCTTGCACTAAGCCTCAGAAGATCAAATCAAACCCAAATGGAGTCATGTGTCTAAAGGTCACCCAAACACTCTGCACTTTGAATTGGTGTAGTTTTCCATAAACAAGCAAATAAAAACATACAGCAGTAGCATAAAAAGAAAGTCCAGTCCAATCTAACTTTGTAAGTAACTGAAAGAACTATTCTCCTGTACTCCCTATTTTCTGCATTCTTCAGTCCTGTTTTCTATAAAGCCAACTTCCTTGTGCTCAGAGAAGGCTCATTCTATTTGACAAAACTGAGATGTGGCCCAAAATAAATATCAATTAGATCTTCAAACTGAAACTGTGGTAATTTTGACTTCTGATAACACGCAGAACTCTTACCTAATGTTATCACTGACATTTTCTGATATGGTACCTCCTCTAGTTTATTAACACTCACAATCAAGTCCTTTTCTTCCATGTTTCCTATTCCCTTGCTACTACCCATCAATAACAGAAACTAAAACAGACATCCTCCTTCTCTTCCACAGGCCAACAAAAACAGAAGAAACTGTATGACACAGAGGAAAGGCTCAGCACACATTATTATAAACAGTGCACGAGAATGAGGCAGACTTAGCTTTCAGCTTCTGTGAAACTATGAAATGAGACTATTATAACTAGTAAAGATAATTAACAACTTTACACAGTCTTCTAGTGGCCAAATCTTAAAGAAACATAACCTAAAAATTTAGAATATTAAATATTTATTAGAAATCATTTATATATGAATAAATCCAATAGCTGAAAAGCTTAGACTTACCTGAAGGATTTTGTAGAAACTTACTTCCATACCAGGAACTAACTGTTTAAGTTTGTTCATTAAATCAAGAGTTTTCAAAATTACATCGGCAGCAAGTTTGCTTAAAAGAAGAAGAAAAAAAATCACATTTAAATTATAAAATCTTTGCTTTTAAAATTGAAGAACTATTTTTGCTGAAAGGTACAATACTAGTGACCAACAGTAGTGAGTACAAATCGGCATCAACAGCACAGGTTTAATCAGTGATTTTTTTTTCTACTCTCCAATATCAACATGCCTCAACTTTCTGCTTCAACTAAGTAATAATGGAATATGACCTATTTAAATTTCAGCTTTAACACTGAAATTATCAACGAAGGGTAGCCTTAGGCAATAAACAGCACCTAACATGTAGTGAGTAAATTATACTAGGTCACATTACCAGCTTTGTACCTGAAAGAAGCATAAGTAAAGAGATAATACTTATTTTTCAATAACAATTCATGAAAATTATGCCACTTACGGAAATAGGAACAAATTATAGGTGTCTAGCACTTAGCAGATCTTCAATAAATATTAGATGGACTGGGTTTATGTGAGGAGAGAGGAATAAAAAACCAGCCTTGTTCCTACAGATTTTTAAACTGTAAGTCTTCACATAAGAAAGAACTGCCTGTCATTAAGAAACTTCAGCAATCATTCATTTTCTTGTAATATAACCATGCCTGTTTTCTCATGCTTTTTATTAAAAATTTAAACTAAAGAAATAATTTTTAGGGCTGGCCAAATATCTAGTGGATTAAAGCACCTGCTTAGGCAGATGCAGGAGACAGGGGTTCAATCCCTCTGCTCCTGGGGCACACTGAGACTGCAATTGAGACTGGGAGTGGTGGCGTGTACCTGTAATCCCAGCACTTGGGAGGCTGTAAACAGAAGGATCACTACAAGTCCAATTTATATAGTGGGACCCTGTAGACCCTGCACTAAATACAAAAAAAACAAAACAAAAAAATAATAATCTTTAAAGTTAAATGTCAAAAAGCAAACCCAAAAGGGAAATGATCAGGACTGTTGGATAAGCCTCACACACATACATAGCTCACCAAACATGCAACACACATATATATACGAAGCGCTAATCAATGAACACAAATCACAGATGCCAGCACCTTTTTTACAAGCATACAAAATATAATTTGAAGGAATTTCAAATTTTTTTTGCAAATTTCATTTTATTATTTTAATTCTGTTATAGCTTGAGCTATAAGCACGTATCAAAAGATGTTCTTAAACTACCATGTTGTTTTTTTGGTACGAGGCATAAGCCTCAGGACCTTGTACTTGCCAGGCAGGCACTATGCCACAGAGCTGTAACACGGGCTGAAGGATGATCCTTAAGGAATCTCCACATCTGACATTCTTCAGCCTTGAACCATTCTGCAGTCTGGACTTCATATACTCACCATAATTCAGAATCTGCTACCTTCGTTCCAAACCCCAGATCAATCTTGCCATATGTGAACTGCTGCTCTATCAGAGTGGTACACTTGATGGTAGTCAGATTTTTTACAACGTGCATCTTCAGAGTATCATCTCCACACAGAGATAAATATTGTTAAGAAACAACTCTCAAAATATTTTGTATTTGCATATATTTTAACATTCAGGATAATCATGAAAATCATCACTGTAATCTGATAATTACTGTTACATATGCTCAATGATAGGTTAGAAAGCTGAAACTCAAAGTTCTAAAGTAACTGAGTTGAACATACAGATGTTTTGTCTCAAGGGAAAAACAGAAAAAGGGTGTTTTCCCACACAATGTTCATCTTTTATTGGCAGCATAGGAAATATTTCAGTAATATTGTGGTATTAAGGGAGGTTATTTTCCCATATTCTGTGCATTGTGATTTATTGATGTCCAAAGATATCATTCAACCAGAGAGGGCTGGATAATAACAAGTATGAATATCATTCAAATAAAGGTCAGTAAGCAAATGTCTCTATAGCAATGGCTGTCAACTTTGACTGCATATAATAATCATCTGGGTGACTAAATCACAAACAAAAAGATAACACATACCCTCCACTAATATTACCCAATGCTTCAAATTACTCCAATTGCATTAGAACCTCTGGAAAATTCCTATTTCTGTATTTTTTTTTTAGTTGTTCCTCAGGTGATTCCAATACTAAGCCAAGATTGACAGTTAATGCTGTAATTCAAAGGCAGAGAATAATTAAGGAGTGGCAGCTCAGAAAAGAGGTGGCATTTGCTCTAGGGCAGAACAAAGTTGGACAAATTCTTGTTCCTAAGATACAACGAAATATTTCAGGTAAATTTAAGAGATCTGGTTGAGATACAGTGGCTCCTTTGCTCATGAAAAGGGGACAAGGATTCAGATGAAAAATAATGAAACATTAAAAAATCAGATCTATCTATCCACCCTTTTGAGACAAGGTCTCACAATACAGTTCAGAGTGGTCTTGAACTCACTATACAGCTTAGGCTGCCCTCAAACTTGAGGCAATCCTCCTGCCTCAGGTTCCAGAGTGCTGGGATTAAGGGTGTAGGCCACACCTGGCTTTTTTTTTTTTTTTTTTTTTTTCTTTTAAAGACTTTTTAAGAAGTTACAACTAGTAATATCTTACGACTTATCAACTGGATCTGCAAAGTGCAAGCATATCAACCCAAAATGACAAGCACAAAAGAAAGTTTTTTTGGCTGGAAAGAATAGCTGGTTACCAGGAAATCACAGTTACAAGGTCTAGCTTGTACCTGAGGCAGCAAACAACTGAGTACTATGACAAAATTTTCAAATTAAAATGAATCAAGTATCAAATTTGACAACTTTCAAGGAAGTCTAATACCAAGGTATTAGCAAAAGCAAACCCAGGGAAATAACTAAGAGACTCAGCATACAAAAGTTAAGTAGAGGGTGGGGAAGATGTCCCAGTGGCATAAGTGCCCACCTGGCAAGTGCAACATCCTCCATTTGATCCCTGGTATCAAGAAAAAAAAAAAGTTAAGTGGCAAATGTAACTGAACTTAAGGTTTTCTTTTTTTGTAACAAATAAACATGTGTTGATACACTTTTCTATTTTATAAGCAAATGTGAAGCTATGTTTACTAAAACATTTATGGAAGATTTTGTTTTTTAAAACACAAGTTTGCACCTCTGCTATAAGGATAAATCTGAATTATTTATCAGAACATGGATATATCATAAAAACAAATGTTAAGTGAAAGAAATCAGACACAGAAACTTAATACATTTCATATTTTTTTATATGAGAAACCCAAGGGATAAATAAGCAAATAAAAAATAACAGGAAACAGACATATCTTTTGCAAATGGGAAGGGGATGAAGAGATGGAGGGAGATGGATGAGAAGGAGGCCTAAGAATTAAGATGCATTATGCACATGTACCAAGTCTCCATGAGGAATGTAATCATTATTTCTGTAAAGAGGTACCAAGAAAAATTTTAAAAAATTGGAAAAAAAACCCTCCAAAACGTTTAAAAAAAAAAAAAAAAAAAAAAACTCGGTTACAACTATGACAACTTTATCAGTTTCTTTATCCATGGACACATCCACTGAAAACCAGCAAGACTAATCATACTAGGGCAGTAATTGAGCATAAAAAGCAGAGGTAAGTGATGAGTAATAGGAAATAATTTTACAATATGTCTCCAAATCTCATAATGTGATAAAAATGTTTGATCAACTTAAAGAGTGTTTCTTATAATGCACTGAGCTTAAAAGTTACACACAGGGTAAAAAGTCTGGAGAAGATTTTAGAGACTCAAATTCTTCATTTGCTTCAATTCTGACTGGATATGAGCATGAGAATGACAAAAATACAGATAAAATGCAATAAATCTAATACTAGGAAGAAGTATATGTAGTTTCCTCTTTTGCAACTGTAAAGGATATTTAACAATACTTCAAGGGCTTTGACCATCCTTTCACATCTTTTTCTTATTAAGGGCTCATCCAAATTCTGTTCTGTAAACTGAAGCTGATTAAGGATTGTAGGCAGCAGAAGAGTCATGAATCGGTCAGTTGAGGAACAATTAGAAGTATCTATGGAATCCTGGATCAGTTATTAGAAGAGAAATATTTTAAGAGAACAAATGAATATAAAAACTGAGGCAATGCTAAATTGCCAGATCACAAAATCTACATCTACACACTAACAATGATTTTCTCTGTTATGTGCCACACACAGTCTGGCATACTCCACTTCTTTTACTAAGACCTTAATATTCTATGTTAACCCACTCAATAACTAATGGAGACAGAACATTATTGTAAGCACAGCCATACAACAATAACATAAATAAACCTTGTCAATGTCTTTGCTTATTATACAGAAAGGAGTATGTAAAAACTATTCACTGAAAAAAAGGCACACACACACACACACACACACACACACACACACACACTTCAGCAGGCAAAAAAAACCCCTCATTAGCTGATTCTGTGACTGGCAGAGCATCTAGGGAGAAAATTTGAAGTTTTTCTAAAACATATGAAAAATTATAAGCTTACTATGAATATTTTTAAAAACAACTAATCAAGAATCATGAAAGTAATGTCAATTTGTGTATCATTCTCTTACCTCAAATATTTCCTTGAACAACTCCAATGCTAACACTGAACAATCATTTTCTGATCCATCCAAAGGTAGGCTTAACCAACGAAGCAGAGCCACAGAAGGCTCCTGGCACTTAGACCGGGCTCCCAGAACAGTGCTGCCAGATGGAGACTGTTCAAACATCATCTGAGTGAGCGCATGGCGCAGCTGAGTCACTGAACAGAAGGCAAGAAGTAATTCTAAAACCTGTGCAATATAAAGTCTTCATTAAACGTCAGTTTCACTGAACTTTAACATACAAACATAAATAAATGTAAACGTGCCCCACATTTATGAAAAAATATTCTAAAACAAAAAATAAAAGTAACTTCTAATTTGCCCTTCAGTATTATTTTTCAGAAGATACATTTTCAGGTTTTTTATTTATTAATGGTGCTTACCCAAGATAAGTAGGACTGCAAGAACAAAGAAAGGCCACTTCAACTAATATAGTATTTTTATAGTAAAGACTTCGCTTTTAAATATACAATTTTGTTTTAAAAAATGGCAAAAAGGCTTAAAACTATACAGCTTGTACATATTCAGAAATTAGTGCATCTAATACTTTTCTGCTCACTGTGATTTTTTAAAAAAAGTTAAAAGATACTGTTTTTACATACCTTTGAAGAAGAATCAGGATCCTTCCCATTAAGAAGACCTAATACTTGATTAAGACATGAAGAAAAGTGCTCATACCTAGGTTTAAAAGTATACATCCGGTGTTACTTATGAAACTGATACGTCAAAAGGATTTACAAGGTAAACACTTTATACATTTATCTGGGTTTCTAATATGGAATACAGTATTTATAACATTCAGATGATCCTTAACTTATGTAGAATGGCTCCATAAACCTGACAGTGAAAACACTATTAGTCAAAAAGTAAATACTATACAAGCTGTTCTACCAAATAGCATAGTTTAGCAATACTGCATCCTATAAACACAGGTTATTTATTTTTGTGATCAAGCAGCTGAAAGTTACATCTTACAGCCAATGTCCTGGTATGAGCAGTATTACACTACATATTGCTAGCCTAGAAGACCAAAATTCAAAATCTGAAGCAGTTTCTATGAATATATATAGCTTTTATACTACTGTAAAGTTTAAAAATCAATAAATCTTATGATGAGGACCATCTCTGCTTAAAATCTAGACTATGTCTTAGTACTAGCATATATATAAATTGACCCTTTCATTTACTGAAACACAACACTCACAGCAATACATCACTGAAAGTTTCAATAGCCCAACTGCCTTATGCCTTAAAAGACTGTGTTCCCTTTGTAAAACCTCAAAGGAGAAAAGAATATGACAATGTATTATACAGCTTATTTATATAGTACCTAAATTTGCCAAATATTAAATTAGACTCTGCAAAACACATAAAAAAGGAACAGATACCATTTAAGAGGTACTACTGAAATTATGTTCTATGTAACTAGTATAGAGAATGATACTGTCAGAGAATTCATAGTCTAAGGATGGACGCAGAAAACAAAAAAAATAATAAAAGCTAATGCAAAATGCAATAGTGTAATGGAGGAACATATGAGATGAACAGTACAAAGAACCTAGATTTTGTAGGGCACATGTCATTAGAGGAGGATTCCTAGACTTGCACCTGAAAGAGGAATTACACAAATGAAGGAAGGATTTCAGCCTTCTAGAGGAAATTCACTAGAGAAGATATCATTCAAGTAAGCTGGAGGTGCTAACCGTAAGATGAGACAAAAGAAAGCAAGAAAATGTGAAGAAATAAGGCTGGGAGCATCCATGTATCAGACTTTCGAAGAAAATTGGCTTTTTATCGACTTTGAACAAAGTATTTTTTTTTAAGAAAACTTAAAAGCTGCACATATAAGGAAAGGAGGGGAAAGTCAACTGACTGGGGACACTGAAGGAATGAAGAAACTGCTACTGACAGGAAAGTATGAGACACTGCATACAGTAATAAGATGTTCATGAATGAAACAGTAAAAGGTGATCAAAAAAAAAATCACCCCAGGACACAGACATGGTGGTCCAATCAGAAGGGACTACCATCTCTTTTTTTTTTTTTTTTTTTGGGGGGGGGGGAAGTGGGGATTGAACTCGGGACCTTGCGCTTGCCAGGCAAGCACTTATTCTACTGAGCCATCTCCCCTACCACCTACCATTTCTTTTTTCCTGTGTGTAAAAACAAAGATATATAGTTATCTCTGCATGAAAGAGAAAGGGAAAAATAATAAATATTTCCTAGAACCGTTATAGGAAATTAGAGGGAGCTAGCTAGAAAGTTGACCCAAATTAAGCTGTGTTGTTTTATCAAACTTTAATTCAGAAGCTCTGACACTAAGTCAGACTTTGGAATAGATTCTGAAGTTAGGTTGTACTAATGGCACAGGAACAAAAAAAATCAGAAGACTTTCCAAAAATGATTCTTAAGTTCAAGTCTCAAGTCTAGAAAGGGAAAACATAAATAATGAAACAAATTTACAAAAGTGGGGCTGAGGATATAGCTCAGCACAAGCACCTGCCTGGCAAGTACAAGGTCCTGAGTTCAATTCTCAGTAGAAAAAACAAAAAAATTGCAGAAGCAGTAATTAAGCAATCTCTTATTCATGCTAAACCAGATCACTTTTCATCCTGCTTTCCAGAAGAATTTCAAAATTCCAAGTTTTTCAGGTTACTACAAAGCTTTTAAGTAAGCACTATCCCAGCCATACATAATGTAGCAAGGAGTACCAGGCAATTGTGTAACAGATAAGGAAAGGGCAAGTAAAGTAAGGAAACATCTGGAAGAAAAAGGACCTCTCATGTACAGAAATTTAAGAAAAGAAAAAGTAAAATGCTACTGTGAATACTTCTTGGCTTTATAAAATATTAACTACCCATATGAGGTGGTCAACTTTGCCTTAGTTCTTAGTAGTTTGTTTTTTAAATAAAATCTTAATTCTATGATTCTTAGAGGACAAGAAGTATCTAACCCCCATCCTCTTACAATGTCTGATTATAGTAATACTAATAATTTTTTTATTTATAAATGATGAATTAATTTTACTCTTTAAAGCAATTTCCATAATTTTTAATTTAGGACCAGAATAAAGTTTAGGCACTGGGAAAATTAAACCTCAAATGCTGAGCTTTTTGGAAAAGTTGCTACCTAATTTTAACATATATGATCACATGAAACACTGTGACATAAATATGTATTTCCTTTTTACTGTATGACACAGAATTACATACCAAAGGAAACATTTTATTAAAAAAAATTTAAAAAGTCAGACATAATGACACGAATGTTTCTATGATAAAGACACTTTCAAGCAACATAATGCTCAAGATTTAAAATTGGTTTTAAAACAGATGTTTGTATTTTCTTGAGGCACAGCCTTACTATGTTGGCGAGACTTGACTGGTTTGAATTCAAAATTTTTCTACCTCATTCTCTTCAGTAGTGGAGATTCCATGAGTATACCACAAAACCCAGCCAACATGTCTGTTATTTCAGAGATTGACATCATGCTATTGATGCAGGCCATGAACAAAGATACAAACACATATAAACACCGCATACCTTTTCATACTTCTATCTTTTTCAGGAAAGCAACAGAATGTGGGTAAATAATATGTCAATTCAACTCACTGTGAAAACTGTAGAATGCTCACGTTCTTTTGTTTAACAAAAACAGACTGGTTTACAAAAAACCAAGTCCTTAAACTTATTAATGTGAGACATACCTGGTAAGATAATCAGCAATTTTAGGATTCTTAAGGAGATCCATCAGTAAGTCAACTGAATACTTTCGTGTTAAAGTACCATCACCATTTATGAGAATATTAAATATTAGTTGAAAAGTCTGATGAATGTTTCGTGCATGGAACAGCTTTAAAATGAATTAGAAAAGGGATATTACATATACAGAAAATTTGACCCCTTCATAAAAGAAAATATCCTAAATGAAGAATATAAACTTCAAAACTAACTCCATAAATAATAGAAGTCGTACCTTACCTTTTCCCCCACTTCTTCATTTAATGTCAAACTTGATAGTATTGAAAGTGCAAACACAACCACAGTTAAACTACTATGGGCTAGGAAAGTTATAAGAGTTCGATAAAAGGTTTTCACATTACTCTGAGGAAGAAAAAAGTACAAAAATAAATTAGAATAAAAATTATAAGCTATAAACAGTTTAAAAAGCTATGTCATAAAGAGTGAGCAACCTATTAAACATCATTATATACACTTTAAGAAATGATGTTTGATTTTAAAAGACAAAGTCTAAAGAAAAAATTTAAAAGAGATATAAAGGCAAAGTCAAAAATTACTTGTTAGAAACAAAGAAGTAGGGGAAAAAACAAATTTGGTCAAAGGTGCCCAAATGGGTGAGAAATGAATTTCTAACAGGATTTGTCAAGTTAGAATAAGTAATTCATAGATGTTAAATCCGAATGTCAATTTTAATGGTTCAAAAATAACATAAGGAGAAAAGGAAAAGAGCTACCATAAACACAGCAAGAAAAGCTGTTTAGCATTTCAAAAGAACTCTAACAAAGAAATTCTCTTATTATGGTGAAAACCAAAAATATTTAGCAAATTAGAGAAATTTGCTAAATCTGCTCATTATCACTTGGACTGGGAGACCATCCACAGGGTAAGTCACATAAGTACTTTCACATGCAGCTGATATATAAGGTTTCTCTTTGGGGAATTATAAGTAAATGCTTATTATATGTGTTTTCCCAATATGGGCATTTTTTAAAATTCAGAAATTAAAAATACATATGCATAACAAACTTTTCTGTATAAACCTTGATAACATTTCCATGGCTCAATATAAGCAGCCCCCAAAAATGGCCCTCAGAAAAACTCAGCACTCAAACAGATGCAAGTGTTCACATTAAAATCAAATAGATAATATTTGATACGAACATTGCACAACTGTCCAAAATTAAATCACCAAAAGTGAATTAAACAATAAGTGAATTGATTTAATATATTTCTAAAAGTGGATGGTTGCAAGTTAAATGCTTTCTGAAGAAAAATTTGGGTAAAATTTCTCCAAGTATAGAAGGGACCACAAAATAAAGCCTCATTAAAAATTATAAAGAAAACTTCTTACCAAAGTCTTTATATGTGTTTGAACAGAAAGATTTTGCCGACAAAGATTTGCCAATAATCCTAGACAAGGCATTGTTAATTCATCTTCAGAAGATTGACTGTTGTTTTATCGTTTTTTTGTTAAAGAAAAATAAAAAAATAAAGTTTATTAGTCAAAATGATAGTTTATATATCTAAATTCCTTTCTCCCTGCAAAAAACTTCTAACATGTGAAGACAGTCAAGCTGAGTAGTACTGATAATTATTTCATGGTTTGAAAACAAATTATCCTATTCACCTGTATCATTAAAATGTAGACATAATTGACAAAGTGAACATGTATTGTATTCTTCAAACCAAGATTAAATATAAACACCAACATTCACATTCATTAAGTTTTTCTGCCAAAACCAGTTTAGTTTGTAAATCTCAGCTATGAAAATTAAAGTTTATTTTCAAAATTTATTCCTAGTTATCTAAAAATATAAATTAAAAATGTAAATACATATTTTAAATATAAATTAGCCCTACCAGTTTGAAAAGTCATCTTTTAATGTTGATATATCATATAATTTAACTTTAGAAATAAACCAGCATATTGTTACATATTTGATTGCATACTCACATGTGATCTATCAGGAATGTAATTAATTCATCTATATTGGCACCAGAATGTAAAATTTTGACATTATATGTTAACTTCTGTAGAAGTTGAATGCACTAAAATAAGAATATGATTATCAATACAAACATACAAAAACATGGACTATTACAAATATGTTTTATTAGTACACGTTTGCAGTACATAAAGATTACATTTATTGTGGGGAACTGGGACTCATATGTAATATCACTTTTTTTTCAGCCCCTTCCTCTCCCCAACCCCTCCCTGCTTCTTCTATTTTGATTCCCTTCCTATTTCCAAAGCTGTTCACCATTTTTCTTTAGGGACCAGGAATCAAACTCAGGAGCTTGTGCTTGCCAGGCAGGCACTTATGCCCCCTAGCTATCTCCCCGGCCCCTTTGTTCTCTATTTTTTAATTCTTTATCTTTCTATAACCTTTCCTTCCCTCCTTCTCTTGTTCTTCTTCCCACTTCAAAAAAAAAAAATCTATTTTCCATTATCTTTTATTTTTTTCTTCACTTACATTTTGGGTTTCTCATATAAGAGAAACCATGTAATATTTAACTTGTAGGTCTGATTTATATGCTGAGCATGTCTCAGTTTAGTAGTAAAAGTTAGGACAAGAATTTTGCCGTTTCTTTTTATCTCCCTTTTCAAATACATACAAAATATGTTTCGTGTCTCAACTCACACATTTTCACACTTTCTCAAACAAAATATCTCATTGTGTGGTTTCTGTCCCCAAATGTTCAACTGTAATTTACGATTTGATCCTCAAAGTACTCTTACTAAGAGATGGTGGATCCTTTTGGAGGTGTGACCTACTTGGTTGAAGGTCTTTAGGTCATTGGGCACATCAAGCATATCTCATGTGATACTGCTGACAGTTCTTCTGAGGTTATAAAGAAGCTAGCCTGACGCTATTCTTCCTCTCTTCTCCTGGTTTGAAATGTGATCATTCTCCTATCACTGCTATCTGCTATGAAGTGGCTGCAGATTTAAGGGCCTCTTTAGGAACTGAGATGATGCAGATGACATGCCCTCAAATTTCTTAAACTATGACCTAAATAAAACTTTTCTCTTTCTAAATCACCTGCATCAAGTATTTTATAATATTAAATCGATTGACATAATCATAAACCTTATTCACGAATGTCTTAAAATTCAATGCAAGCTGAAATACATATGTTGTACATATGTCAGTTTGATTGGTGACTTTTTCAACTGATTCCATTTTAAGATTCAATTAGCAATAATTGTGCCTCAGATAAACCTCATTGGCTATTAAATTGCCTCTGTGCAAAGCTTACATTTTAAGACTCAATAAAATATGATGGCTTTACGGGTATTCAGAGCTTTGAACCAATGCTAAATACTGTGATCATAACTTCCAAGTTTTGTAGACTATTTCAACAGACTAGATGCCAATTCAAATTGTAATTTTAATATGAAGAGCTTACATTTCAAAATGCAGACATCTGTGTTTATAAGTCAAAGCAGTTGCAACATACATTTTGGTTCAATAATGGTGCCAGATACGGGTAAGAGTCCCTTCTCTAGAAATATTGAACAATAGTACATTTGTGTCCAACTAACTCTTAAAGACAAGGATTCTGCCTAATCAGGCTGTTTATTTTCACATACATTATAAACTAGCAGTTCATAAAAGAAATTAACAATTTTAACCTAAGAATAAAGAAGGGGGAACAGGTGTTAAGTGAGAGACAACTGTTTCGGTCTATGTACCTGCAAAAATACTGAATCAGTATGGCAAGCACTGCTGCGACAAATCACTCCTGCCAGTACACTGTTCAGGTTGTAGGTATTCTGAAGACAGTCTCTGGTTTCATTGTCTACAGCTGTAAATTAACATAAAATGACACAAAATACAATATTTTTATATATGACCTTCATGGATAAAGAAAAATAATTCAGAATTTGTTTTACATAATCTAGTCTCCAAATTGAGAAATTCAAATCATTTTTCTATGGAGGGGAATATGAAAAAAAATCATGTATTACATATTTGTAGAAATTTTGTGATTAGTATATTATTACTTCAACTTTTAAAGGCCTTTTAAATATAAAGTCTATCAATAAATATACCTAAAAATAAATGGATTATCATTTAAAATTTAATACATTTCAATGTTGAAAGGGATTTGCATCTCCATATAATAAAACTGGCAGATAATGAAGTAGAGCCTTTTTAGAAAAAGTAATTTAGTACAAATATAATGGCTATCAAATTCAAAAAAGGCATGGAAAACTTTCAGGAAATCTCTCCAACAGAAATACACTAATATTCAGGCAAAATTCCGTAACAATGTTAAGTGCACTGTAGTCTAATAATAAAAACTTGAAAAAGAACAAAAATCTGTCAGGCTGGGTGCCATGCTCCTATAATCCCATCCACTGAGGAGGCTAAGGGGTAAGAAGGAAAGTTTAAGGCCAGCCTACCCAACATAGTGAGATCCCATCAAATGAAAACAAAAACAAACCAAAATAAGAAATTATTTTATTTTGTTGGAGGACAATATCTGAATCAAACAGTACCCTGTAATTACTAGGGTAGTATTACTACAGTACGAGGTATCTACTGAAAACACTGAGATTGAAAGAAATATTATCTTATGTTCAATAAGCATTTGTACTTTAAAAAACCAACAAATTATCTAAAATTATTTGTTGTAATGGAGAAAAAGATCTGGAAAGAAAAAAAGTAAGTATTAAATGAGATTTTATTCCCAAAGTCAGAAATGATGAAGCAAGAGGTAGGAGGTAAATATTTATTCCATTTTACTGTCTATATTTATGCTAACTTGGTAGCTACAATGCTACATGTGGTTATTTAAAGTTAGATTAATTAAAAATTCAGTTCCTTAGACTAATGTATGTATACTTGAAACATGTGGAAGTAGCGACTCTGATGACAGATCTGGAACATTTCTATCACTGTAAGAAAGTTGTACTGTTCTACTGAATAATGTATATTGTGGATTACTGCAGTTTCTATGCTATACATACCTTAATTTTATATTCATACACAGAAAACACAACCTCACCTTCTCTGCCATTCATAAATAGGTAATGGGGACATATGTCATTAAATAAACACATTTCAAAACATAAAAAAAAAAGAATTATAAGAAAAAAATCACAGCAGCATTTTCATCCTTAGTTTTAAGGATAAAATTTATTCTATCACAGAAAAATGATTCTTTGGTAGCTATGATTGAGAGTTACTTAAGAGTGGCATTATGTGTATGTGGGTTTTTTGTTTTTCAATTCAGAAATGGCCCAGCATTTACCAAAGTACATTTCTCTCTGTAGAAGAGAAAATTTTGGATATGCTTTAGACTTCTTGGTCTAGTTTTAAAAAGTATATACACACACATATATGTACACATATATACATATAGTTTGTATGCATACATACATGCATATATGAATCACCCTCCAAGAGATGCACAACTTAGTTAATTCTGAAAGGTTTCTCCATGAACAAATCTTTTGAGTATAAATTGTTCTCTAAGAGATACTATAACTAAACCTGTACTTTAGAAAATATTAAATTCATACATTACCCAAATACTGAAAAAGAAAAACTAAATGCATTACCTAGTTGAGACAACAAATTGATAACACTTAAGATCAATGAAGCGCTTATGTTTGGATCTTCAAGTAGCTCTACAAGGCAACTCAGGCATTTACTTGGTAGTATCTGATTTGATGAAAACAGTCGTGTCAGCTTTTGTCCAGAAATTACCTATAAAATCATAATTAAAAAATATATATATCTTCTTCTCAAAGGGCCATTGTAATTTTCTTTCACAATGTAAAAAATTCACACATGCCATCTTTAACACTTCCCTTAGTAGTGAAAGTAATAATCCAGACCTCAGTTTTAATTTTCTCTAGACTTTCCCTACACCATCTAAATTTACAACTATTGTACAGTATGTTATGCTTCTATTTAATGGGTTGACAAACTTTTGACTATCTAGCAACATTTATCTTCCACACCTTACTACCAATAATTATTTTGTAAATAAATTATATTTTGCTCATTTTCACTTTGATGCAACAGACTGGAAAAAAAACTGAAAGGTTAACTATACAACTGTTCCTTTTTAGAGATAAGAGCTGAGTCCCCATGTTAAGAGATTTTTTTTTTTTTTTTTCAAAGTTTTTTTGACAAAGAGATAGCAATGAGACAGTTTCAAATCAAATCGGAAGGACAGTTTCAACAAATAATACACTGCATATATTCTTCTTAGTGGTTAATTGCTGTACAA